AGTCTGGTGATGTTGGTTGGTTTCTTTGGCTGCTGTGGAGCTGTTCGGGAATCTCAATGCCTGCTGGGTTCAGTGAGTATAAATGCATACAAACACAAAAGTAAAACATTTACATATATAGACATATATTTCACCTGTATCCTATTTACAAGAACCGTACATTCATTGTCATTTGTGGATTTTTTTGCAGTTCTTTGCCTGTCTGTTGATCATCTTTGGCGCTGAGGTGGCAGCAGGGGTCTTTGGATTCATAAACAAAGACAAGGTACATTTGTTGTTTTACAGCTTGATTTGTGCAATGAGAGTGCAATGAGTGTGATGACTCACTTGTCTTCTCTCACGCAGATTATCGAAGACGTTCAGAACTTCTACACAACAACCTACAATGAAAACAACAACGGCACATTGATCATCTCATACCAGAAAGTAGTAAGTAAAAACTTAAATGTAGCTCACTTGGTAAAACGCACGCCCCATGTAGGCTGTAGGCATGTCGTCCAACCTCTCTCTATCTTTCCTGTCTATCATCACCTGTCCTGAAAGCAAAATATTTCATGTTCCTAATGTAGAAGAATTTGCATATTAAAGCTATTTGTTTTATGTTTCCATCATATCATGTTTTTCTTCCCACTTTCAGCTGAACTGTTGTGGAACCATAGCAAGCCCCTGTCCTGATCCCAAACCTGATACCAAGGTAAGATCTGTCACCAGCTCCAGACTCAGGGCGGAAATTAAATTCTGCTCCTTTGTTGTCTAATGAATGAGTCATGTTGCCACACAAATCATCATGGTTCACTACAACTTGATGCTTCTTGACTCCTCTTATCTTGGGTCTGCAGGACTGTGAGACAGGCATCAAGGACTTCTTCAATGGTAAACTCTACATCATTGGGTACGTTGGCATCGGCATTGCTGGAGTCATGGTGAGTCAAGATCTGAGAAGAGTTGAAAATACACACTTTTTTGTGAGAGAGGATTATTTTATTAAAAATCTTTTTTCCTCTCAACAGATCATTGGGATGATCTTCAGTATGGTGCTCTGCTGTGCCATTCGCAACAGCAGAGAAGTCATCTAAGCTGGACCCTTGTCCTCTACCCCTCACCGCTCCTGTACCCAGCCCCAAAAGACTGTATAGCCTTCAGATCAAATGTCTGCCCACCATTCATCCAGGGACCCAGGAAATAAACTGTGTTCGAAAAGTTCCTTTAAACTATGGTGCTCGACCCAGCTCTCCTGGCCTGATCTTCCACTATTTTCTCAGAATTTTTATATATTTATTTGCGGTCACAAGCAAAGTAGCAAACTCTAGCTTTCATAACATTCTCATAAAACTTAAACCATTCACATATCCAGCAGGAACAGTATGATTTCTGATGTTGACCTGACAATCTGTCAAATAGTTGTTGTTTTTTTCCTCCTGGCCTTTTGGCTACCACTACAAATTTTAACCTGCATACTCTCGCAGAAGTGTCAATGCTTTTTCACACAGCCTTGACACTGACCCCTTGGCTGTGGGAAACTGTAGCCCGAGAGAGCAATCTGAGGTGAAAGCAGCTGAGTTTGCTTATCTGTGCACACACACACAAATGTGCACAGACACACAAGCACAGCAATGTTGTGTTACGTGAGACCACAGCCATAGGAAAGGTTGTCTGGAAACTCATAGGGGATCCTGATTGGTGGAATGAGAGTGGGATGTCAAGAGAGGGAATGGCCAGTGAATATTTCGAGAATCATGCAGCCTGAGCGCTCTTGCTCATATACACATATAGTATAAACTGTACAATCAACAAAGATTGCTCTCTACGAAAATAGTCTGCAGTTATCTTTAAGGACTAATTCATCAGTTTGGGGAATATGCTTATTAACTGTCTTGCAGAGAGTCAGATGAGACGATTGACAGCACTCTCATGTCTGTACGGTAAATATGACAGAGATTGGAAACAGGGGAAACAGCTAGCCTAGTTCTGTTCACAGGAAACAGCTGGGTGCTTGAGAGTGGTATCAATATTCTCATCTAATTCTTATCAGGAAAAAGATATGTTTCCCAAAATGTCTAACTATTCCTGTAAGCAACTATACCAGTGGTTTGCACGTTTTTATCTTTAGTCATACTTTTGCTGATGTGTAAGAAATAAAAAGAAGAGTTTTCTACTGAACAGATTTGAATAGAAACGCTTCTTGGAGCTGCTGGATAAACACATCCAAAAATCTACAACTGTACAGCCTGCATTTGACAATGGTCAGCAAAAATGTTGAGTATACATGCTTTGTAGTTAGGGAGCTAAAACATACTGGTATGGCACTGCAAAAAAAAAGTTTGTCAGAAAGTAAAAGTTCCTCTTCTGTTTAAGTGACCAGGTGATATAAATACCACTTTATAACCTTTCCTTGTTCATTTATGCTCTCTTACGTAACAGTACCCTTGAGTCTCTGTTGACGGCATGTCAAGAAGATCATGTGGAGATGTTTACAGGCTAAACATACACCAGCCAGTCATCGAGAATAGGCTAGGAGAAAGCCAGGCCTTTGACCTCATCCCGTTTCCATCTTGTTTCCCCTCTGTGCCTTAAAAGTACACCACCCACAACAAAACCAAAACTGAGAACCAGCCCCTGTATCCCCCTCACCTCATCAGCCTCAGCAGATAAGAGGATTGAGAAGATATGCCCACCATCAAATCACTTCCCTTTATTCAGGTTAAATCAGGCCACTGTTCATCCTGTAGTGTTTAGGTGTCAGGACTCCAGTATGTAAATATGTGTGAGTTTTCTTCTAGTTGTACATGATTTGTGGCTGATGTGTTACTATATAACATGCTGTGTGTAGACAGAGGCTTGTAGTAGTTGTACAGTGTCGTAGTCTTGACAATGTTTGCAATAGTCAAAGCAAATCCACACCAGTAAAGCAGCTTCTTAACGTGCCTTTCTTTGATAACAAGCTATTTTTGAACAACAGGCTGTCTGAACGTAGCAGAAGATCGTAGCAAAACTGTACATATGTTTGTAGAGTTGGACTGCAATTAATTGTCACACACATTCGACGAGTAGCACATATGGCTCGACTTGCCATTATTGTCTTGTTGTGTTTTAAAGTGTTGCACTTGCAGCTTGTGTCGTCTCTGCCAAGAGAGCTGAAGTAGGGAAGGCAACAGTTTTTTTGCCAACTATTTCAAAAGCTTCTTGGTACTAAAAAAATCTGTTCTGAGGACTTAATATAATGATTTTTCTGTTTGTTATGTCCAAATGATCAAGCCATTTAGCCCTGCTTTCAGTTTTTTTTCTTTCATTTTACATTTCAGTGTAATGAGACACAAGTGAGGAGACAACAAAAGCTTACTTACCACTTCAGGCTGTTGAGATGCCAGTAGGCAGTGTTTACTCTGAGGAGTGAGGTGACACAACAGAGTCAGACTGTCACTTCAGAGGCTCTGCTGAGTTAAAAAAGGATGAACTAGGGACAGTGTAGTGTAACTCAGTACACAAAGCTGTTGCTGTGCTGTTATATTTGTTTGAGCAAATCTGGAGACGTAGTACTGTACACGTAAAAAGACGCTGTGTACACAGTCGAGCCTTTCGTAGTTGACTGTGTGTTAATTTATTTTAATACCATTCCAGGCTTCTCAGGAAGGTAGGTGTTTGAAGTTTAATAAAGCTTTTAAAGTTTTAAACAGTTTCCTGTGTCGTATTTCATCACAGATGTTTTCATGTTTTATCTATATTATCAGTTTCTAATTATTTCCTTATGATGGGTAATGTTTCACAAAAACGGACACAAGAAGAACAGATTAGTAATAAATACAGTCATGTGACAGCATACTAAATGGCCACTTCCGACAGCCTTTGCCAAGTAGTTTACTGGGTTACTGATTAAAAAAACAAACAGGTCTTTTTATATCGATATATGTTCCAGATTTAATATTTTTGCATATACTGTATGTCTCTGATTCTGATTAGTAGCTTATATGGCTTTATCCATGTTAATGAATTTGTGAAATCTCTTATCATAAAAGACATCTCTTAATTGTGATATCAGCATCAGAATCCGCCATTACATGCACAGACATAGTCACATACTCAGCTTGCTGCATGGTTTCAGGCCCTGACAATATACCAGTAAGTCCACACAGTTCCAGTCCTTTCCAGTGCTGCAATACAACCTCTATACCCCACCAAATGTAATTTATACAGGCTGATACTTTCATCAGATGTCGTGTGAAAATGGTGTGAGTTATCACAGAATGTGCAGTGTCGACATTAGGGAAAAAGAACTCTTTAAATCCATTGTAACAATAAAAGTGAATCCCCTCTGCATACATCTATCACAGTTATATATGTAGTTTATATACAAATGTAGCAGCGTACACTGTAGTTGTAGATATACATTTCGAAGGAATGTGATGACTATACTAGCTAGTGTATAAATGTACAATATGAGAAATACTGGCTAGAGATGTGAGAATACTGAAGCATTGCTTAAAGGCAGCATGTGAAGAATAAAAATGACCCATGTAGTCATTTATGACAATTCGTTTTAGAAACACGTTCAAACTGACTTATCACATCATTAAGTGATTTATTGTATATTTCTTTGCAGTCGATTGTATTTGATATCCTCAGTGATTAAGTAGGTTTCCAGGTTTAGTCGCATGAGTTTCATGTCAGTTTCTTCTTTCTGCACTTGAGCTTAAAGGACAGCTGAATATTTAGTTAACAGGATAGTTATGCATGCGATGCAGCAGAGGCTTCAGGACTACCCAGTGTAGAGTTACCCCAACATTGCAGCATGAGCATTTTTGCTGCCACAAACGTATCCATGCCTGTGATGCATGTGTAGAGGAATAGGGTATCAGCTTTTAAGCTTGCATCAGAAAAAGTATTATACTGTCTTTAGTCAACCTGTTGCCATTTCCAACAGCCCGACCTGAGAATAGATGACTGAATGTGTTTAATTTGTGTATTGCGTGTTATAGTTACAGTCAGACGTCACAAGTAAACACTGCATTTAAAAATATTTATTCAGCATTTAGAAATCTGTATTTACATGCGTAATTCCAAAATGAACTTAAAAATAATTATCTTCTCAACTGGTTGACACACTTTCAAAATATTAGAGCTGTTCTCAATTTGAGATGAATTTGCACAGTTTGAGAAAATTGAAAAAATACAGGATAAATATTTACATTGGTAAACCTGTTAAAAGTACTTTGACCCATGAACTTTTCCAGAAGAGAGAAAGTGCAGCTCAAGGTTGCACTCTGTTCTGCTTCTTAATGCCTGACATGAAACATTCATACAGGCTCCTGTATTTCTAACTGACAAGAAATTCTGACCAGTCACAGACAGCCACAGTCAACTAAGAGAAAGTGACTATATGGAGGTCATGTTGCACTTTTTTCAGAAGACTTGGTCCCAAAAGCACAGCAATAAAGTCTTGTCTATCAGTCTAGTTTATGACCATCAAACAACATTTCCTTCACCACAAAGCAGCCATTTCGCTGCAGAGTTCAAGCTTGCACATTACATAAACATAGTTGTGTAGGCTGCCACAGAAAGATTCACAGTGCCCAGTCACACCTCAACCACAATTGTTCTGAAAAATAAACACTAGGAAGCACCTATGGTCATCTTCAGACTTGTGACCAACAATAAAGCTGTGTGGATAAGGAGGCAAGAGAATTCAGAGACATAAAGTAATACAACACAGAATCCCGGTAAGGCATCCCAATGAACAGGCAGTCCAAATGTTTTGTTCGTTCATGAGCTAGGATTGCTTAGTTTTTGAAAGAGAAGTAATTTACCAAATTCTGCTTTAAAAACAAATTCACTATATACATAGACAGAAATCATCATCCAAAATCCTCTTTCACATGTAACCCTTTAAAACAGGATTGAAGTTATTCAAGTTTCAGTGTTCTTCCTTTGTTATTACTTAGTAGAAACTCCCTGGCACAGTAAGGTATCTTGTGCAACACCATGGGACTGTAATCATGTGGAGATTACCAAGAAGGGACATATAGGTTAGGGTTACAGTGAAAGGTAGTTGATATGGGGCACATTTAGGGATAGGGGCTAAATCTAAGGAAACAGATAAAATGTTTGGTGCCACAGGAGTAGAGTCAAGTCTGATCTGGGTGAAATGCTGATATATGTTGGACTATGAAGTCCCTCAGTGAGGGAAGCAATTCCTTTCTTATAAGAAGCTCAACTGAAGCCCATATAGACAGGCAAGTTTCAGTCTCAGTCTCTTGAATAAGACATGCTAAAGGCATAATTTGAAACCACTTTGAAATGAAATGGCATCTCTCTGGTCCCTTTAGCTTTTTACTCTAAAACCCTCCAACAACAAAGAAGATACACAGTAATAGAGATCTGGGTCCATGGCTATGCCCAGGGCATAGCTGCCTGTAATTTAATGAGGCGGCAGAAAGACTAGTAAACAGCTTGTTTATGCAGAGTAGATGTTGTAGGGGGTGTACCCCAGCAGGAACTCTCCAACTCCTACAAAGTACACAACCTGGGCAATGCCAAAGAGTGGGGCAATAACCAAGGCCCGGCAACTGGCCCCCTTGAGGAACGCTCCGGGGCCCTCCTTTCTCATGATCTTTCTGCAGTGGAAGAGAGAAAGCAAGGTTAGCATCGAACTAGTGCCATTCATACAAAACAAGCATGTTTGATGATTGTATGACTAATTTACCTGACACAGTCCACCACTCCGTTGTAGGTCTCCTCGTTAGCTCCTTTTTTGAGTGATTGTAGCCTTGTCTTAACCACTGCACAAGACATACAAATCTTATTTTATTGAGAATTTATAAAAAATCTGTGAAACAACTAAAGGTTTCAGTTCAAAATAAAACTGATGTCCAGTTCCTAGTCCCCCAAACATTTACCAGTTATCTGCATAGACTGAGTCACTCACCGTCACAAGGGCTGACAGTCACAGCAGCAATGCATCCAGCCAAGCAGCCAGACATGAAGGACCAATAGAAGGGTACAGATGGGTCTTCAGGAGAACGCTGGCCGAGCTGGTGCAGATGCGCAAAAAGAGGGAAGTACACAACGGAGAACGGGATGTCCCTGAAAAGGCAACAAACAAGCATATTCAGCACAGTCAGAGGCTGTTGACCAAAGATGGAAAACCATTCAAGCAAGAGCAAGAATCGCATCCCAGCTCACCTCATCAACGTGGCTCCGAGTCCCCTGTACAGTCCTGTGACTCCTTTTGTCCTCAGCAGCTCTCTGGTGATCTGTGTGGCGGACACTCGCATGACTTGAGGTGCTGGGCTGGTGTTGTAGGAACGGCTAAGGACAGCACTGGTCCCTCCCATCTTCAGAGTCGTTACTACACTAGGCATCACCCTCTGCTGGGCCGCTGGAAGATACAGGAAACATATTGTAACCATTTTTAATCTGGACAAGTAACACCCCAAACCATTATTTGAGGCTGGTAATTTATTCTGCAGATTTCTTTGTAATTACCTAGCCTGCCAGCATCCTGCAGCTGGATCTTAAGCATTTCCATGGGTGTGGTGACAATGACCTGGCACATTCCTGCACAGCATCCTGCCAACATCTCCTTGAACACTGTCAACCTGCTACTCAAGACACAGACACATGGACAGGGTTCAAAACCAAGAATGACATTGAGGTGCAGGAGTCTTTTTCAGCGCTACTACTCACCCATCTTTGCTCAACTGGTGGCGGAAGAAGTCATTAGCCGCTAGTTTTATGGCCTTCTCAGGGGTTACCAGGGTGAGATTTACTGCAGCACCTGCAATAACAAGCATTGCTCATGACAAACTAAATTCTAATGAAATATATTTTCAATACTTGAACCACACATTCAGTAGTTTGAAAGGCCTTTTTGCATAGCAGGTATATACTATATTTTATAATATGTATTTAATAATAAAGTAGAACTATAACAAATCTTAATACAGAAAGAAAGACAGAAATTATCTCACAGGATCACAAAAGTTGTCAGGATCAGAAAAAGTCCACGTGAGACACAAAATGGCCATAGCTTCAGTGACTTGTGGTCACAGTCTTACAAGATGGACCACTGACCTACTGATTAGCCTATTTACATGTAACTTGATCTTAGCACTGAGACACATCATGGAGGATGAAAAAATGAAAAACCTGGCATAAGAAAAGCTTCCTTCTTTGGGAGTCAAGGGCCAAACTTTTTGGTCGAAACAATCAAAGTGGGCCTATATCACAGATCTCAACTACTTCTTTAGGGTAAGTTTGATATTCTATTCAAGGAGACTTTTCAACTGACAAACATATTAAAAGAGATCAGTATGGATGTTGTGATCAGTCTTACCTCTATACATGCCAAAGTAGCCTTCAGATTTAACTGTTTTTATTAGGCAATCCATCCTGAAGTAAATCAAAAAGAAACTGATTAGTTACAATACAATACAACCAGGGCTTGGAAATGAAAATGTGTGATGGAAAGAGCCTTCATACAAGGAGATGGTAGTCATATACTGTTCTTTTATCTCCAAATAGGTTTGAGTGTTCCCACAAAAAAGGAATACTGTTGAACTTGAGATCATCAGCCTTTGCTGAGCTCTGAAATAAATCTAAACTGTCACTGAGTCTCTAAGCACAGGGAGACACCTCGCTGTAAGGGTGTACATGAATAGAAAGACAAAGAACTTGCACGGTGAGAAAGTGCTTTAAATTATTATCCATTTAAATAAGTTAACAACTTCAAATCAAGAGACTGTCAGATTTTTGGCAGTACATTTGGAACAGGGGGTGGAGACAAACTACTGAACTTTTCTTCTGGCGGGTATGTGTCTTACATGTTCTTGTAAAGTTGCTGCCCGCTGCGTTGGTTCTGCAGGCGGGTCTTGGCGAGGTCGATTGGGAACACACAGGTGACTCCTACCATACCTGCAATCCCTCCATTGATCAGTTTGGCCGGCAGGCTGTTCAACGACAAGTCAAAACGTGTGCATGACAATCATTCCTTTTCTATAAGTGGAGTAAGGTGGGGCACTATCAGGTGAGGTGACATAACCCTCTGAAGCAGTATAAGGATTGGGTATCTAAAGCACAAGCTGACAGGCATTATATACATAGGAAAGTTAGTCATTATGCTTTTTAAAGTGAGTGTGTCTACTGTGTGTGAGGCATAAGCACTGCAACAGAGTATAGAGTAACTGTTTCTGCGAATCTGGGAATCTAAAAATAACTTGTCGACAGAGCAAATCAAACAACATACACATATGTGCGGGAGGCAGCACACATCCTAAGGCCTCTGTGATTTGACTAGTTACATCTAAAAGAAACAACAGAAGGAAAACCTGAACTTCTACTTAACGTTAAAAATTCAAAGCATGCTTTATTCCTATTTTGTTCTCTGAGCAGCCTACAAATGGAATTTGTGGTGAATTGTCCTGAGCAGGTTCATACCTAATCTGTTGTTGCTGGGCCATGGTTCTTGGTTGTTGTGAGTGCAAAAGTTGGTCTGCACAAAGTAGGAGGCCGCAGAGGGAGAGCAGGCTGAGAGTCCCTGAGAGACACTGAGCAAGGCAAGAGTAGAAAGAAGCTCAGGGTTATATATATAGAGGAGAAGCCCAGCCTTGCAGATCCAGATATAAATTCAACATTACTCTCCACCCACTGCACGGCCAGCCAGAAAATGGAGCCATGGTCAGTCATCACCCTACCAAAATCCAACCACAATCCTAATAGCTTCCAAGGATATACCTGCCTACTGTGCAAGGGAATTAGTTCCAGTAGCAAACAGGTCCATGTCCAAAGCTGCATAATCACAAAACTATACACAAAAAAACCCACAATTCATTATTTATCTAGTATCTTCTTCTATCTGTAGCAGACCATTCGGGTGAAGAGAATCACACAAGTGCTGTGCAAAAGGTGTTGTTATACAATTATATACATAATTTCACTCATGTAGCAATAAATAGGGCTATTTTTGCCCATTTGGTGTCATTATTGTTCACATCCATAATCTAAAACACATTTAGACTTAATAACAAAGGTCTTCAAGAAGAAACTAAAATGTTCCAAAACTGAAGAGAGAATCTTGTGCTTCTGAAATGTGACCATCTAATGCTATATATATATATGTGTGTGCATGTGTGTGTGTGTGTGTGTGTGTGTGTGTGTGTGTGTGTGTGTGTGTGTGTGTTTGTGTGTGTGTGTGTGTGTGTGTGTGTGTGTGTGTGTGAGTATTCTGATGTTTCACATGGGTAAGTCTGCTGTAAACCAATATGTGCACAAGTGTAAACGAGGAGCCTACCTTTACTTGAAGTCAAAGAATGCTGCGGAAACAAAGTTTAACTGCCGACTCTTCCTCCGCACCTCTGAATGGAAATAAATGAATGGAAAGAGGAAGAAAGCGCATGCAACTGCTCTCGGGCGACTTCTTGGCCAATGCAAGGGGTTCCTTTGTAAAGTGGGATGGACCAACGTGTCTCAGGAAAACCACTAAACTAAGTGAGAATGATGCGACATTTCCTCAAGGTTGTTCCATTGCAGAGGGGAGAACTTTTTTTCACAGACTTCAAACACAGGTGAACACACACACACACACACACACACACACACACACACACACACACTACTCTCACTCTTCTGTGAGAAAGGCACAAGTATAACATGTAAGTATACTATTGGTGTTCTGTTGGCGCAGAAATTAAACTTTATTTAATATGGAAATAAAATGATCATGAGCTCATTTCATTCATGTACACAGCCAATACAATTCACAATAAAGCTGTTGCCTAACGCATGCTTAACACAGTGTTTTATTGCAATATCTTGCCCAACAAACTAGAGAAAACAGCATGACCAGCGGAGCAGCGGAGATGCACTACAGTAACAACAAGCAGTCAAACGCACAGTGCTTATTGTCAGTTTCCCAAAGCGTGGGGCTGCTTCTGGCTCCCCACGCTGCCTTTAAGGCCCGTGCTGCATCGGTAGTAACTTGAGATCCGGCTGGTGCGGACGCAGTGGTGTGTGCGCGTGTCACAGCGCCTGCAGCTGCACCGGCGCGCCGCGGGATAATACAGCTGTGGGTCGACACCGTGAGGGCAGCCCGGCAGGCGGGCGGGTCGGTACACCAATGAGAGAGGCACGCAGCTACGCTGGATCAGGAAAGTCCTCCCGAACCGTCCCCTCAGATTGGTGTCCTGAGAGAGGGGAGACAGGACTGTTAGAGGCGGGGTTTGGTGATCCTCATACTAATAGGGTGTCCTGGTAACACACAACCAGTTTAACACAATGATGGTTGTGACACCTCCTTGTCACTAAAGTATGATTTTCATTTTTGATCCACAACAAGGAGCTTACAACTGAGCAAAATCAGTTCTGAAGATTTAAGATGTTGATTTGTATCATTGCGGTAGGATGTGTTTGCCATAACGCATCTGTCTCTGCCTCTGTGCCTAAATGTGCCACTTAACATCGCCTAATCATACCCCTAATGCCTCATTCTTTGCGTCATAAAACAAAATGAAGAGTTTCCTAGTGTGTGTGAGAGAGTGTGTGGCGGTGGTCACCTGTGTGTAACAGTAGCCGCTGCAGATAGTAGTGTTCACAGCCACACACTGGGCACAGTCATGCCTCTCAATCCATAAGGTGTGATTCTTCAGCATGCAGGCACACACCGTCCAACCCGTCAACGTACACAGCAGCATGCATTTCAGCGCTAACGAGGGCATGTTGAATGGCGTGTTTCAATTATCCAATAAATGAGTGTTCTCTTTTTCAAACGAGATGCTCCTTCTTTCCTCTCGTTCTGTCCATTTAAGTTCCCCAAACTCTCCCCTGTTCCTCTCCTCTGTGAATATCTGAGAAGATCAGCGGTGTCCATCCTCTTTTATGGAAACCTTAATCCACCTTCAGTCTACAGCATCATTCCAGAAATCACATGTCAAGTGTCTACAATGTTTAGACTGGTCTCAAAACACACATGTGGGTCTGTTTAGTGTGTGCGCGTCCGTGCATGGATGTACAATTTGCGGTAAAATCTACAAACAACAACAAGTTATACAACTCCAGCCCTTAAACGTGTGTGTGCTGCTGATCCATGTGGGTGACTCCACACGTTTTAGGTCATGAGAAGTCCGCCTACCATATTTTGATTTCGGTCGCAAGGTGCAGCAAAAAGTCTTCTTTTTAAAAGTGACATCTTGAAACCAAATGAGTGTGGTGCTCAGAGCACTGTAAGACATTTATTAAGTAGCCCTATTTGTGCCATTTAATGATACGTTTATCAATAATCAATTGCCAAATCGGTTATAAAAATATAAATCAATGATCTATGATTCATACTCAAATAAATAATAAAAACATCAAACACATAATACAATTATTAAAGATTCACATTTAGACAAACTAACAATAATTAATGATGATTATTAATTAATGAACTTTTCTTTTTCTTTCTTCCCTCTGGGACAGGAGGTATGACCCAAACTATAGAAGCAATTTAAGAAATGGAGCAGAAGTTATGTTAATTAATTCAGCTAAATTACTATTAAATAATTTTGAATTAAATGAGATTTTTTAAGAGTGATCTCATTTGGCTGATGCTGGGTCAGTACTCATGTTTCTGTCCTACCTGAGTGAAAAGGTTATGCCCTCCTTATCTAAGCCATTAATGCTCCCATTATTCCCATCTGTTCGTAATTTGAGTGGCCATGTGCCTTCAGATTTTTCCTTCACAAAGTGGTCATTAAACATGTTTACCAAACACAATTGAGGATGAAGTGCTCATAATTCTCCTGAGAGCCTCCTGGTAAACCGGAGACTTGAGAAATGTAAGTTTGAAAATTGTAAAACGAAATCGTTATAATAATTACAAAAATATTGATTGATTATTAGTAATTGTTATTACAATACATTTAAGCTTTGTTTACATCAGTACTGTTTGTAAACACAGGGAAATTAAATCATTGGAGAACCTCAAATGCCCTTTTCAGCTAGAAGTCAAATCCTTCAATCATGTTTAAAAAGATATATGCCTTTTATATGGTTAACAAATATACAGATGGGGTCTCTTTAAACGTATGTAATTTCTGCTGTTAGTGGTCTCTCACATCAAAACAATAGCAAAACATGTAGCTGGATGATGTCGTGAGGTAGCATGGGATCATGGAAGTTGTTGTCTTTGTTGTTAAAGGACCAGTGTGCAGGATTTAGTGGCATCTAGCGGTGAAGTCGCACATTACAACTAACTGAACAGGGCTTGCATCTGTATTTGACAAAATGGCGGACTCCACGGAAAGCGACAAGCGGTATCTGTAGATAAAAACGTCTCATTCTAAGGTAACAAAAACACAGTGATTGCTTTATTCAGGTGACTAATGAAAACATACCACCATTATATTCTACCTCTGCCAATGTTACACACAATACCTTTAAGCAACCACCACTGGCAATAAAAATCTGACGTGAAATCGTGTTCATGACTGAGATAATGTGTTAAAGTTTTATTCATGTTACGTTTAGTCACATTCATCAACTTCCTTCCTCACTCTCTGACATTTCCCGTGTTTCCTGAGAAGTAGCAGCTATAGGTCTATCTGCAGACTACAGGGTACACTTTTCTACACGGCACACCCCCTGAGATAACTCCCTGGATTAAAGTACTTATTATAACCCAAATCGTGATCTAATCCTAACTGAGTAGCTGTGGTACGTAAACCTAACCAAATAAGCTTGACATCACCCGCCAGCTCCACGCTCTCCTCCAAATATGGTCACTTCTAGCTCCAAAAAACTAAGATGGCAACAGCCATGATGCCAAACTCGAGTCTTTGAAGCGGTTGTCTGCAAACCTATGGGTGACACCACAGTGGGTTTACACTGACGCCAATCACAGGCGACCAAATGACCGTTACCATGAATAAAATTGCTGATTTCTTATGGTTTGAACATAATTTGGCATAATAAGTACACAGCTCAACAAAATATACGACATAGGTCTTGTTGTTTTTAGACATTTTAATGTGGAAATTTAAATCTATACTGAAATAAATGAATTACAGTGACTCTACTTATAACATTATTAGTTTCAGGTATTGACACTATTTTCTGCTTCTGACCTGGCCCCTGTTTCTGTTGCTTCACATTGATCATGTTGGGTGACAATTATGTAACAAATCCATCGGATAATTACTACAAAGTGGGTCGGGGACAGTTCACTAACTATCTGCCCTGACACAGATCTAGATTTTTTTAGATGGGTGGACTGTTATTTGTGTGAGGTTCATGAGGCAAGACAGCTGTTTGCAATATGAATCTACAGTGGCCCCGCAAAGGAGTTGTACACATTACGAATCATATTCCTGAATTTAAAGGAAAAAAAATATTAATATTGTTTGACATTATATGGTGATGATGCTGTGTCCCAGAAACAATGAACAATCACGTCATTTGTCCTCAAAGAGCAACTGGTTCTACACAAGTTGAAACATTTTAAAATAAATCTTCAAAATCACAATAAATCATGAAATATTTAACACTAATCTGTAGAATATAAATGATGGCAGGTGTGGTGTAATGTGGTCAACTTCAATCTCTAGATTAGAAAGATCCAGAATTAATTTAGGAATAAACCAGCTGAATTGACACGTTTCAATTGTTTGACTCTTTCCATGTCTTTCTTACAATCATGACATCTGCAGGTAATGTCTAAGATTTTAATTCTGCGGCTCTTTGTTTCAGATCATACTGTACGGGTAACTCTACACTCTCCGATAAGGCCCTGGAACTGGGTCCGAAAGAAACATGAACCCCTTTTGTTTTATAGGGGCCATGCCCTGGTAATGACCTCAGGTCGACAGGTCACAACACCATCAAGTCATGTTTCAGATAATACACATAAAAAATCTTTATTTTTTTATTTGATTTGGCTTAACTATTATGACATCTAACATTAAAACAATACAATTTAAAAAATGAAAAAATATATATTTATCTTGGGGCCATTCTGTATGAAACTAAACTAATATAAAATAAATGGTAATAAGGGTATAAATCATATACTTATAATATATAATATGTGACAAATTAGATGGGTTTCTGTATTTATTTATTTTTCAGGACCTTGCACACTCAGCTTCTCTGAATTAAAATAATTTTTTGTGTGTTTGTGTTGTTGAAAGCAGTGGAGCTGAACCACGTCTGATCATTCTCCTCTAAACTGTCCTTTATGTTTTAAATCTGTCAAAAATGTCATTAGGTTTATTCTCATTGAAATATGAAGCTATTTTTTTCTTCAGAGAGGCTGAATAGAGCAAATAATATGTTTACATTTATGTAACAGGAGTCCTGCTCCTTTAGTCACATATCCATTAATGTGTGCATTAACATTCCTTAACTAATGTTAACACCAAAAGTCACTTGATCATTTGTTAATAATGAGAAACAGGAATTGATAACACATTGCATTAATTAATGCATTAAATCATCATGAGTCAAGCATTACTTAAGTATACTTCCACCTTTTGTAAACACAAACAATCTACAAGCATTTTAGACAGAAAATTAGTTGGCCTCTAAATGGTTATATAGTTAATGGTTTTCTGTGTATTATAGAGGTGTAGTAGTTATACTTTCTGTGTCATTAAAACAATTCCGCACCCCCTTTTTACCATAAATGCATCACGACTTTCTGCACAATGGTGCATGCAGGAGTTGGCATGTGATGATTGGGGTGCTTTTATAAAGTTGCTAAATGACAATGTGGTTGTTGTTATTGTTTATTAACCAGGTGTGAACAGTGGCATGGTTCTGACCTTTATACTAGTGTTGACATGTGGACTATGTTGACTGTGGAGTCCTTCTGCCTGCTGGGCACCATCATCACCCAGGACCTCAAGCTGGAGCTCACCAAAAAAAAAAAAAACATGGCAGCGGATGTACTTCCTGTGGCAGCTGAAGACGTTCAACCATCTGGTATATGGCACTGCCACTGCCAAGGACAAGGGCAGACTGCAGTGTGTCATTCCCTCCACCGAGAAGGTGATCGGCTGCAATGTGCCACCCCTCCGAGACCTGTTCTCCTCCAGATTGCGGCTGTCCCCATCACGCTCCCAGACACAAACTTGTTGAGACACTTCCCTCTGGCAGGAGATGCCACAGAAACTGTTTCTTCCCATCTGTGGCCCCATCAATAAGGCTGCCCCACTGAACAATATTCCTTATTTATCACTGTGAGCTGGACAGTATTTTTAACATTCCTGTACAACTGTTACACCCCTTTTATTTTATGGTCATATTTTACAATTTTCTATTATTATTTTTTATTAGTACAAATAACAAGGACAAGAACACTAACAACACCACTTTCCCAAATCCTTTTCCAATAACACAAAAACAGGACAGGAATCTGACAATAATGTCTAACAAGCAAGACAAAATAACAGTAGGCTACCAAAATAAATATACGTACAGATTTTGTTTTCTATTTAAATGCTTCTCTTGCAGTACTTGCTTTCATCTTTATTTATATTTTTCAAGCACTATGTTTATTATTGTTGTGCACCAATACACCAAAGCAAAATTCTTGTATGTATGTCAGGCAATAAAACAAAACTATTCTGATTCTCCACTGACGCTGAATCATAAATCATAAGGTAGTGTAGGGAAGAAAATGAATTAAAATGTGGGGGGAGAGTAGTCTGAATTGGGTTCTGGAGCTGTGCCCCACCTCATACATCGCACTCATCCGCCAGCCGCGAGCGATTCCAAGTCAGTGAGAGTCACATCCGCCGGTGGTGCTGAGAAACTGCGCCACCAAGCTTCTCCTGCGACGACTGCTCACGTTAACCCATATTTTCTGTTCACTCGCTCACCCGAATCAGGTGATACCCTGCAAGGGTAACTATTGGCTCTTGTCTCAGACCTTCCCCGAGGTGATTGGTGGAGTGACGAGCACTCAGCATGTGACCTCTACAATGAGCTTCCGCCCACAGGAAGCTACACAGTGGTTACGGTGTATTAATACAGCAGCTCGTGCACATATACTCTTTGTCATGGTGTAAATTATACCAAACATTGTTTTAGTAGAAACATAGTATTTTAACAGTGAGACTGTTAGTGATACAGAAATAAAGTGTGGGCATTGTAAAATGTATAGTTTCTCCTCA